CATTGCCTCACCCTTTTTCCCCGGCTTCTTCATTGCCTCCACGAGGAAGGTTCTCTTCCCGATGTGGCAACACGCCAAGGACTACGACAGGCCACGCTGCGCTGAAAGTCTCGCCATGCTCAAAAGCGCAACACTCATACCTTTGATGTTGGTCAACCTCTGCACCAAGGACCAACTCGTACAGTTTATTCAACAAGCCGAAGCTCAAGAGGGCTCAGTAATCGACTTCTGCGGTTTCGTTCTCGACTGGCTCCCCGAACTGTACTTGTCCATCTCGCCACACTCATCGTACGACGTCTACATAGAAGGCCGAGGCCACACGATAGAGTCCGACGTCAACTACATCTCGACTTATTTCGTCTTGTTTGGCGCATGCATTCACTCTCGATTGGGCCTGCCTGGCGATGCATCAAGATACAATTGGCGGATCCTAGAATTTTCGAAGCAGATAAAGGAGGCGGAGAGTGATCCCAAGTGTCTATGGTGCGGTTCACTTAGTCACCACCAAAAATATACAACTGCCAAATTGGTCGGTCCAAAATCGAAAATCTAATTTATTGAAAGAAAATTCCTGGGCCGGTCAAAAAAAAACCCTGCCGTTTTCGAAAATTAATATTTAAATGAATAAAATATTATTCTTTGGCGGGGACTGCCAAATCCATGGGGTGGGAGTTTTATAACTCCCCCAGTTTTGATTATTTTCGAAATCTGTCTTGGGGAACTGTTCCTTTTAGCAAAAGAAACACTTTGCCAAGACAGATAAGAAATCGAGGCACTTTTGGCCCGGCTATATCCGATTCTTCTGGTTGTTTTTTTTTAGTGGTGACTAAGTGAACCGCACCATAGCCTTCCAGGCGTTCGCAGACTTGTATCACGACCAGCGATGCTATGCGCCTGGATGTGAGGAGACATTTATAGGGGCGGGTAGGAAGTTCGCGACGTGCTCTGGATGCGGCAGAGTCCCATACTGCTCCAAGTCGTGTTTGGTATGAAGCTGTTGTCGTATCTCGTCTTTGGCCACACACTGACTCGCTTTTGTACCATTTCGAATTGTAGGCGAATGCATGGAAACATCCACGCGTGCCTCACAAGGCAGCATGCAAGTTGATACGCGAACTGGCTGACAAGAGCGGTATCTCATCGCACCCTGAGATTGACGACCGTGAAGCATTCCTCACCGCTATCGAAGGGGATCAATTCACGGAGCTCGCAACTGCCGTCTCGCTTCATATACAAGGCTTGCGTGGTGAGCTGTCGAGAACAAGTGAGCCCATCCAATCTTCAATAGACAGAGATCATCGTTTCATAACTGTACATGCCCCCGCAGAACAGGATGTTGCTGAGTTGTCTCAAGATTCGGAGGCTTCAAGTTGATGTCGGCGATGGCACAGGCGAAACGGAAAGAAAACGACACTGAAGGTATATCATCATTCTTCTTATATGGAAGCATTGCCTTTTTACTAATCCAAGTGTCTAATCATTCTGTTTTGCCCTGCAGAAGTCATTTCCGCTCTGTATAAATATTGGTCAAATTTGCAGTTGTGCCTGCGTGTCGGGTTGTGTCCATCTGTTCGTGTGACTGTGATCGATGTGGTCATGCTATATATCATCGCTTTATATAACACGTTTACTTTTGTACTACCCCGAGTAGTTGTCCTTCCAGTGCATTGAGATTCGAGTGTGTTGTGGCGTTATTGTGGCCTGTGTGGCGTACTTGAAGATGCCGTCATCCTGAGTCGATCTTGAGCTATCTTGAGGCTCAGGCTCTTCCCTCAGAATTTCTGTCCCACTTTACATGTTCCGCCGCCTCTTGACTAGAGCCTCGAGTACTACCCTTCCTACTTGCTCTCTTAGACCACTTTCCCCGACAAATCCTCTAATCCGTGCTTACGTGAAGAAAACCAACATGAGCAAGCTTGCCAAACAGAACCAGAAGGGCTCAGACGGAGGCCGCAGAGGCGGCGGTGGAGGAGGGGGAGGAACGAAACTCAGAGGTCTGCGTGAGGATTCATCTGAAGTTCGTCTTTCAAAAACAGTTACCTGGATCCTTCGACATGGTGCCAAGTCCGAAGGAATATTTATGAGACCAGACGGTGCTGTTCGCGTCTCTGACCTTGTGAGTATTCTTTCATCTACGTGATGCCTCCCTGCGTTTGCTTGCATTCGAGGACGGAAACTATGGTGGGCGCAGTGGCTGATAGAGTATGGGTTGAAGGAAGTTAGACAACCAGAGGTTGAAGTCTCAGCTTGATTTGGAGGGACTGGAGAAGCTCGTGAAAGAGGATAAGAAGATGCGATTCACATTGTTGCACGAGCCGGACACAGTTGGCTCTGACGGAGGCGACATCGTGTGGATACGGGCCAACCAAGGGCATTCTATCACGGTACGTCCTTAGTATATGAGCTTCCGGTGGCGCTGTGAGTCCTAAGACCACATTGTGACCATGCACAGGCTGTAAAGCTCGATATGAAGCCTGTCACAGACGCCTCTGAGATACCCATGGCAGTGCATGGAACGAACAAAGAGGCATGGAAACAGATCTGTAGGTCTTCTCTGTCTGCAGGATGAACGAATTTTACTGAATCTTTCGAATTTAGCTGAACAAGGGCTTTCGAGGATGACCCGAAATCACATACATCTCGCTCAAGGCGTCCCAAACTCGGGCGTGATCAGCGGTACGCTTTGCTTGCGTCTCCACCCCCTCCTGAGTGCAACACTATCCCCCTCTTGTTCCCTGCTCACCATGAATGATGAATCGCTCACTTTACAATTAACACTCACTACTAGGTATGCGTAATAATGCCACCGTCTTGATCCATATCGACGTCCAGAAAGCGATGGACTCCGGTTTGAAATTCTTCGTCTCCGACAACGGCGTCGTATTGACAGAAGGCGACTCGAACGGATTTCTTTCGCCTCAATTTTTCAGTAAGGTCGAGGATAAGCAAGGTCGACCCGTACTTGGATGGCAACCACCACAACAATCGACCGAACCGGCATCGCAAACCGCTGAAGTGCCAAAGGATGAACATTCATGAATGGGCGACGGAGTGCGGTAATCCATGTGTATCTTATTGGTGAAAAATTGTAGATGTGTGTATTTGTCCTTACATTCATGGAATCAGTGGTCATTTTTGTGCGGGGCGATGCGTAGAAGGTGAAGAGGAGGGGGTTCTAATTGCACGGTCCGTGATTTTGCCTCGTTAATTTCCTTTCGTTGCTGAGACTGGAGGGAGACGCTCACAAATATTGCGCAGCTTTCGCAAACATTCCATCGTCGGCGACCTTTCCAATTATCAGTTCGTAGTCGTCTGAATGTTCAAGCGTTTGTCAGCTCAAGCTCCATCTCTCGCTCGAGCCTGCAGACGTGCAAAAATTACAGTCTCCCACTTCGCAGTCATACTCCTTCCCCTGGATCCGGAACTCGATTTTACTGTTCTGCATATCTCTCTCGAGAATGACGGTTCCTGTCGCTGACAACAACGACGATATCAAGGCGTGGTCCTTTCAGGCCGACCCGTCCTTCCCTTTACCCGATCTAGAAGTTTGATGGTGGTGTTCCCGACGTGTTTGTGGTTGAACCGAGAGAGGATGCCGAGAAAGAATTATCAGGAACGTTCAGGAAATAGTGATGCAACTGCATCACCCTCGCCTATCTCGTATCTGAGTGGCGCACTCGCACATATTGATCGTTGGGCATCTGCTTATTTCTGTGTTTCGAAGGTCAGGATCAATCAGAGAAGTTGCAGAGATCCTAGATTCCCCTAGTTTCCTGCGAAGTTCCCCAAAAGAGATAGATGTTTCCCGGTGTCACTTCTATCGGAGTTCTGAATATTTATGTCGGTGTCAGTGCCGGTACAATGGCTCAGAAGCAGACAATAGTAACGGCGCATTGTGCCGTTTTAGGCAAGTGTGGCGCCAGTGTCTCGAGAGGATAAAGGCCCATTATCTCGCTTCTCTCCTCCTTTCTCTCCTACCACCATCTCATCTCCGAACCCTGCCCGATACGCATCGTGTCTTCTGATTCTTTCACAGCCTAACACGCTTTGTGCAGTGAATCACAATGTTGTTCACCCTCTATTGCGCCTTTGTGGCGCTCATTCAACCTTTCATCCCGATTACATGTGTCCCCGAGGCTTGCAACCTCCTCTACCGGTCTCACTCTACGAAGGCTACTCTATTCGACACAACGTTCCCGACTTCGTCTCCCTTCTATTATTTTGATGCCGCCACCGTCCATTTCCTCAACCTTCCCACGGTCCCTCTCATCGACGCTCCTCCCATGAGATTGAGCATTGGTGCAACTTCACACTGGCCAAAGTATCAGTATCTGGATTCGCGGACCAGACAAATGGTCGAACTCGATAGAATGGCAGTCGTGAAGGTGTCGAATATTGTGGGTGGCGCATTGGTTGATACGGTGCGTTTCTATATCATTTGGCGGGGCATTATGCACTGTCTTCGCACTCGATGATCATGCTCACTGTTGATGATTGTTTGATGGGCCGTATAGGTCGTTTGGTTTATGCAAATCGTTCATCGCCATGACGAGAGTGCCACCGTCGTTCCGCGTCCTGTACCCGACATGACCGTGGGTGGCAAGCTCACAGCTGACCTGGTGCGTTACTTCCTAATCATACCCGACTTCCATTCGTTTTTATGCGTATTCTTAATACCCTATAGTTTCGATTTGCAACATTCTCTGGACGGGTCGGACGTCCAGAATGGCTAAGCGTGGTCACGGTGTCTTCTCTGGTGAGCTCTTGTATTCACTTCGCACTTGGCAGACATTGACTTTGATGCTGTCCCTCGAAAGCTCGCGACCTTAGGAATCACTTCTGCGGCCTTACTTCAAGTACTAATCATTGGTGTCACGGTCACGATCTCAACATCCTTCCTGGCTCTCAACCATCTCTCGGACCGACTTCGGTCATCACTTGTGGTCTTGAAGAGCCACGCGTCGGCTGTCTGCTTCGATTTGTTTGCCTTCGCCACCCGTGTAACCCAGAATACGGTGAGTGTTCTTTTAGGTTTTGCCGATTTTGACCACGTCGTGACCAGGATTGCATACAATATAGGCGCTTTATGCAAACCTCTTCGTCCGAGAACGTTGGAACGAAGTCAAAGCCTTGGTACCCCGACCCTCGGCTCTTCGCTCTGAGAACTATCCCAGCGAGGAGCACAGTGTTGAAACTCAAAGCGATGCTGCAACCCCGAATGAATCAGAGGTTCCTTCAACCGCTAGTGTTACCGACGACCTCCACAGTACTACGGACAGCGACGTCAATGCCGACGTAGAGAGACCGTCTGATAATGCACCGGACGTTGCCACCTCATCTGCCTCAAGGTCTTCTGCACGTTCTGCAGGTCTCGAGAGGCCGGAACCTATCGTCATTGAATGGCCCCCCGCGTCACGGTCACCGTTGTCGAACAAGAGGCACACGACTGGTACTCAGAGTTTGGGTTACTTCATTCCACCGAATTGCGAAGATGTGAGTATAGTCTCAAGCAATTCGAATGGCCATCATGAGCTGATCGTCGCTGTCTTGTGCATTCTGTCTAGCCCGATTCACTGTATAAGGCTGCAATCGGAGAGTGGTCGACTGACTACCGCAAGCTCGCCAGGAAGTTCAATCACACCATCCAAGTCAAAGTGACGAAGGACACGGACACTTCGAACTCGAATACTACGACGGAGGAAACTTCTGCTTCGCCAGTTCTTACTTCAGACGAGGAGCCCTCCGTCTCGTCTAGTCACGGTGCTGCTACGCCACCGGCAGAACCCGTCGCCGTTGTTGATCAGATCCTGCAGGCTGCTCTGATGGCGAGTGCTGTTGGTACTGGGGACCGTTCGAAAGGGCATTCAGTTGACGAGGTGCGCATTCGTTTTCATCTATGAGCATGAGCAATGTGTTCACTACTTGCTGTGACATTCAGTGCTCGATTTCTGCCCCAAAGAGCTCAGGAGCAACAACGAAAGAGCATGATGTAGATGTGTCCGTCGAATACGCCAAGGAGCCTCTGTTTGTTACCGATGGAGTTGTGGCCGCTTCGTCCTCGACCCATACCCCCACCGTACGTCCTCATTTGGTTACTTTCCATATAAATACCCACTTAAATCGGAAACCTACAGGAGCCTGCCACTACTCAGGCAGGTCGCGTCATTGATGAACCCGTCACAACCAGAAATGCATCATCGCCTGATACGGCACCAGTCCACCAGGAAGATATCGTTCCGGAGACATCGTCGGCTACTGGCACCTCATCGAAGAACGCGAAGAAAAACGCAAAGAAGAAAGAACTGAAGAAAAAGAAGGCCCAACTAAAGCAGCAGGGCCTTCACGAGTCGGAGCATGCTCAGACCGTCCTTCATTCTCCATGTGTGAGGTTTTATCCGATTGATAGTGAAAAGGTTCTGAGTGCTCACCTGCTTACTTTTAAGGCCGACATCTTACCACCCGACTCAAGCTCTCATCCCGAGGAACTTGTGGATGACGTGACACCTGTCAATGCCGGACCAATTGCCGATTTTGTCGAGGATGTTAACCAAATTGCCACCCCCGGTGTCCAGGATATGGACGTAGCCAATGCGTCTGCTCCTGCGAACCCAGACATCACTGGTGAAGGCCAACCTACCACGGTACGATCATCCGGTCCTTCCTCATCATCGAACCATTTGATTGATCGTATTGATATTGTACCTCAGGCCGTCTCGTCTGACATTAGCCCTCTTCCCTCGCCACCCCAGGCAACCGATGTTATTGAAGAGTTTATTACCGGGGATAACCAACAGTCTACGGACGTCATCGGAAGCTCTCAAACTAGCACAATCATTCCCTCGCTATTAGCGTCTTACGGCCCGACGATCGTGAAAGAATTCGACGAGATTGTCAGAAGGACCGACGCTGATATCTCAGTACGCCCATGCTTCCCTTCTTGATCCTTCCTCTCAAATTCACCCGGACTGCTTTCTAGCTTACGGCTCCATCGCCGATCCTTTGTCCCTCAAACGCCGAGGAAAACTTATTTTCAAACCATCAAGAGTTCCCAGCGACGCCTACAGATTTTTCTTTCCAAGAAGCAGAAGGCTCTGTCGTCTCTTACACCTATGCAGATGGTATGATCGACGACGTTGAGGACTTCAAGCCGGTATGCTCGTGTGTTCCTATTTCGTTGGCGATCTTGCTGATATATGCACAGGAATCCCATGCATCGTTCCCTGTCTCCGAGCCCGCTTCCTCTTTGTTCTCACCCACATCATCGGCATCTTCGGTCTCTGACGCCGACCCTGTCGTCTCCGTCTCCTCACCCGTGTTGATGGACATTCCTGGCTTTCCCTGTGTCAACCTCGAGCAGCATGAAGAAGCGTTCGATATGACCAAATACTTCTGCCCGTCCTACGTCAGGTCGCAATCACAACGATTGAAGCATTACCTCAACTTTATAAAGGAAAGCTTGTCGATTTATGCTCTTGATGCGGACATGACAGTGCGTGTTTCTCTACATGACCCCATTGGCATATGCTAACGTGTCCATCACGCCAGCTTGGTTGGGATGTCCCTGAGGGGCTGGTATATCGAGAGCTCGTGAAGGAGTACTCTGGCTTCGACATCGATCCTGAGATGGTCAAAGAGTCAGCGCTTGAATTTCAGTACCTCCAGCTGATGTGGTGTCTCGACCCGAAAAATCGTACTGTGAGTAACAGCATTTGTCGTCGTGCAACTTACTGAAACTCACCGTCTCTGTTTGAACAGAAATTCGAGGCCTATCATCAGGAGAAAATGGATGCTGAGCAGATTCAGAGCTTGTGATAGCTTCATGCCCAGTTGTTTCGAACACCCCGGACGATCTTCACCTTGTTACTTCGTTCCCATCCCTCCAACATCAGAAATACTCACACCTATACCGCCAGCCTCCGGTAACTCCGGTGCACCTCAGTCGGTCTCCGTTGACACGGACAGCAATCCTTCACCGACCGAATCCGTCCACTCTCCCAGTCCAGTCATCCAAGAGCCAGCTCTACTTTCCACTTCTTCAATTGCAGGATATTTACCGTCCTCACCGTGACTACCATCCACTCCATCGGCCAACACCACTTCACACCATAGACCGAGCTCAGAGTCGGCCTTCATAAGTCTTATTGTACTTTTTTGGATGACTTCGGCATATCTTGTATTATGTATCACTAGTACCGTATTCTCTTCTTCTGTCCTGTCGTGTGTGAAGTGATGTATGTATTGCTGTCCTCGCTTTCTCTATGCTCTCTCGCTTCGCTCTCACAAATTGCTCGATTATCTTCTCCCCTCATTTACTTTTGTTATCCCCCCATTGATCTGTCGAAAACCGGATTCGTGTTCCCCGCGTCTGTCAACCCCAGTAGTCCTTGATTACACGCCTTACGCGCGGTTTTCTAGTTACGTATTACTGGTACCCATTTTTTCTTTTATTTGTAATATTTAGAGCAATGAATGTATATACTTGAGCCCTGTACTAGCATCACATCGAATACTGGAAATAATCAGAGCTTTCCCTAACTGCCAGGATGACTTGGGCCACACGCCACACGGCTTACGCCGGAAGAATCCGGGAATCCATTTTCCGGACGGCCAACGTGAGTCCGGTTTGGTTGGGCTAAGATGTGAGTTTTCGCGAATCCAATTCGACCCCACAGCACGACACCTCCGCTCTGTCTCACCTTTTCTCTGCCGCGTCGTCCGCGACCGCGATGAGTCCCCAGGGACGGGGCACGCCGGCTCGGCACCAGTCACTCGGTTGAGTGTGGGACCCTGGTGTCAGTGGAGTGGCGACGCTTTGGCCTACGATCGCCGATCGTAGTACAAAGCGTTGGCACTTCACAAAGCGGATCAACGTGTCTTTCTGGTTGCTCCGGCATCTCGTGTTTCTTTCGTTATTGTCGACTCCGCGCAGTCATCGGCTCGTGCCAACCTCATTTGGGCACTGACGCCGTCTTTGTTCTCGCATAGATATATAAACCTCGCGCCTCGTCGCCCGTCTCGTTACTTTTTGCTTCGCCTCGCCTCTTGCCATCTCGTCTCGTCTCAGCTCGCGTCCTCCTCGCTCAGTTTTCACTACCCACCTTCCCTCCCTCTGCCTTGTTTATTGCTCGTAATCCTCCAGAAACTCGAATATCTACAGTGTGCCACGACCACACCCGTACTTTCCGACTCAGTTCCTTTTCACTCTACTTTACTTTACCACACTCATAATCAATTTCTCGGCATCAGCTTCTTTTCTGCCTTACTTCGACTCGTACAGCCCGCGTGGTTGCGTGGGCTTAGGGTGCAGCTTTCTTACTTACTTCTACATTTTCGGTCTTTAATTTTCGCAACGTACATTACTCTGTAGGAAACCCACCCTCGTCCCGTCCGTCATGCGCAATACAGCCCGGTTGGGATTTTTCAGGGCGCCCGAAGGGCGCCCCCATCGGTATTCACTCGTATACACTCCAGTGGCGTTGGGTTGATTGGAAGTCGTTCAAGTCGTCAACTGCAGCGTTGACCACTGGACCATACTTCGTGTCTTGTATACTCTATCGGTTCTAATAGGATACCTACTCGAAAGGCAAAGCGCAGCCGGATTAGCTGTCCCTAGTCGACCCCCAAGGCCGACTTCTACTCAAAAGCATTGCCGATGAACATTGAGGAACAACCCCGGCGGGCTGGCAGGCTGAGGCTTTAGGTGATGCTATGGCGATGTAAATAAAGGTCAGGTTTAGGTGCGTCGTACAATGGACCCTGTAGGTACTTGCAGCCTGCGCTGCAAAATCCACTACGCACCCTTTCAGGAAGTGCCACGCAGTTGCACAACATGAATAACTTGGAATTTACCAGGTACGCAAATCATTCTCAGTCAAAATATAAATCGGCGATCGTCTCTTTCTTTCTCTCAACTCTATCTCTCATCTTTTCATGTATCTCTTGCCTCGTGTATCTGATTCGATTCTCTCAAAGGAACAGTAGGAGGCAGCAACCTAGCAGAGGAGGCCGCGTCTCCAACCTCCCAGGAAGCTGTCGATACATACCAGCAATGGTACTGTTGGACAGTGCTACGCATTATCACATTCGATTGAGTGCACTTGAGTGGAGCTTCAGACCCGAATCTTGCGGCATTGTACTTCTGATGGGCGCAGTTATCCGTCCATGGATACTATTTAGCGATACTGCAGCGATTCCGGACTCACATCCCTTGGGTCAAGCTCGCACCGTACAATAGAGAGACATACATAGAGATTTCAAACGTGCGATACCTAATGATACACATTAGGTGCTCAATGGCCGTGAAAGAGGTGGCCATCAATAAGTCCTTTGTCCCGTTTGCGAAGCCATGAGGCATGACACGGCACGGTGGCCTTTGCCGGTCCCTCACTCCGAGCCTTTGTTCTCCACACCTGAAACGGAAGGCACTTCCTCGCGTGTCATCTAAAGCGCAGTTTGAATTTACCCGTGGGAAGTGGAACTCCTCTCGATATATAAAAGGCCTACTCTCGTCCCCTTGCTCTTCCCTTACCCAACCACTTACCCAACCCTCCTCTCTCACCCTTATTTACTGGTGGTATCAAACGCCTTTCACCTCTCGCGGACCACAATGTCGTGGCCCTCGGTATACAATGCCGTTGCGGCCCTCTTGCATCCAATCACCATCCTGCACGACGCTTACCGCAATCTCACCGTTCCATTCCCTTTCAACTACTTTTCTGCTGCCATCATCTCCTACTTCAAGCTTCCCACTGTACCCCTTCTTGATGCCCCGGCTACTGTCCTGCTCATAGACGCAGCACCAGTTTGGCTTGAATTGGACACACAACCTCACTGGCCCGAGCACCGTTCGAGAGGCATATTCGAGGAAGCGATGGAGTTCATGCAAGCGGGGCTTGGTAACATGGTACGATACTTCTTCCGTTCGTTCTCAGACAGCGCATCTGATGCTCGTCTTTCATCTTGAAGCATCTAAGAGACAACATGGAGTGTATCGATTGTGTGTCTGTGTCCGGAGTAAATGCATTGACCATCGTGAGAACCCTTCATAATTCTTCTCTTTCATCGTCATATCAAATAATTCCACATCACTCCCCAGATCGTAACAGCGACTATTTGCGCTCTCCTGCTAGTTGTACGTCCTTGGTTCTCGTGTCGTCTTTGTGTCCGTTGTTGACCATGCCGCAGGCCTTTGTCTATGTCAAAATGCGTAGCACATCAAACACGTCATTGTCCCTCGTTCGTCTGACCCCTTTGTCCTCATTGAAGAACCCTTCTGATATGACTGGACTTTGTCAGGATGAACTCATTCGATGCCATCTTACGGACACATCGGCACCAGCCACAGATTTCTGGTCGCTCAATTTGGCACAAGCTGCGCACGATAAAGACGACGAACCCGAGCGCCATGACACCGACGACGGCAACAAGAGCGACACTGATGACAGCCACGGTGCCACTCGATCATCGATCGAAGTCAACATTAACGTTGATGATGCCTCGACCTGCGTAGACGCGCTCGCTACTCCTGCAGACAAGACGTCCGCCATTGACATGAACACTGGCGAAGGGGCCTACAGCGAATTCACTCTGACCTCTACTGTTTGCCAACAGAACAATGTGGATGTTGACACCTATAGTGATAACACATCGTCGTCTTCGTCACGCTCGGACGCGGTTTCGAACCATGGGTCATCTGTTATGGACGGTTTCGTCGACGCCACCGCCGAACCTAAAAACCCCTTGAGCAACGTGGGCACCCCCGATGCCGATGCTGATGCTGACCTCACGACTTTGCCTGCTTTGGAGACCGTGACAGACACAGTTGCTACCCCTACCACCAATAAGGCGTTACACGTGGAGGTCAACGTTCCGACCGACGCTGATGGGTTGGTAGTTGACGCGAATGAAGTACGTTCTTATCCCATGATCCATTGAACTTTAGTGGAATGCTGACAATTGCATAGTGTTTTACACCCCTCGATCTCTCTTCTCCACATGAGGACCACCAAGACGCGCTCGCTACTCCTGCGGATACGGCATCCGCCTTTGACACGAGTATCGGTGAAGGGGCCTACAGCGGACCCACTTGGACTTCTACCGTCTGCCAACAGAACAACGTGGAGGTCGCCACCTATAGTGATGACACCCCGCTCTCTTCGCCATGCTCGGAAGCTGCTTCCAGCCATAGGTCTTCTGTCGTGGACAATTTCGTCGACACCGCCGCCGAACCTACAACCACCTTGGGCGACGTGCACACCCCCGATACCGTTGGTAATGCTGACCTCGTGACTTCGTCTGCGTTGGAGACCGTGACAGACACAGTTGCTTCCCCCACCGCCGATGGAGTTTTCGACATGGAGATCACGGCCAATGTCGCGACCGACGCTGGCGGGTTGACAGTTGACGCGAATGAAGTACGTCCTCGTTCCATGATTCATTCAACTTTTAGTGGAATGCTGACAATTGATAGTCTTTTGCACAGCTCGGTCTCTCTTCTCCACATGAGGACCAGCGATCGGACGACATTACCTTCGGAGCATACGATCCACGTCCCAACACATCTGACGTCGACAACTCTATCACCTTCGATGGACACGGTGTAAGTCCTGTCTTTTACCTCCTTTGTGCATGTTACTCAACTGCTGTTTAGAGCGTTGTCATTGTCGATGCACTGTCTGAAAGTATCCACGATGAAATGGCGTGGGAGCTTACCGGCCGAATTTCGTCCACTTCCGAAGACTCTGATGTTGTGGTACGTCTTCACGCTGCCTCTTGTGACCCCTTTAGCTTATTGAGCGTGCTCTGTTCCTTAGGACCCCGCTGATGCTGAAGTGACTTCAGAGCCCGAGCCTGTGGCACCCGGGCAGGATGTTTTCTCTCTTGACCATGTCGCCCCCGTCACCGGACCTATGGTGCGTTTTGTTCGAGTTTTTCCAACTGCGATATATACTTACGAGTGTTGTATATCGTCCAGAATTCTCTTGAAGCTGAACCGGTTGTTGCACATAACGCGCAGGAGCCAAAACCCGATGCGACATTGGTCCCGGAACCTGCCTCCGAAGTCCATAGCACTGTCGCCGAGGTGGTAAGTCCTTTGCGATCTTTACTCTCTTCTTCTGTTAATGATTTCTGTTAGGTCGTTCAGGACGTCTCTTCTGTGGAATCAATGTCCGAGCCTGACTGTGAATGTACTCCTGGACCAATTCTTGAAGATGCCTCTCTTCCACTCGATGGAGTAAGTAGTGAATTATGTCTCCTGCCGGTTTTAAGTGCTCAACATCAACCACTGTTACACAGAACCTGACCGATGTTCAATCCTCCGCTGAGAATGGAGGGTCGACGCTCGAAGCTGTTGACGTTCCCTCACCCTGTGACCTCTCCTCCGACTTTCCCACCTTGGAAGTTTTGACACTGGGTCCGGAATCCGAGCCTAGTGAAGCCTTGGAAATCAATCCAGAGGATGTCGCTGATGACGAACCAACTGAAGAGGGCGATATTACTGATATGCATTCATCGGCCAACCAGACACCCAATCTGTCTTCTTCAGACGTCTCCATTGAAGAGGCTCAGGACGAGGTTCAGCCTAGCGAAGAAGACTCCCAGGATGATGTACTTATGGATGAAGCACTTGTTGCGGAGCAGGATCTGACCGATATTGAGCTGGCCTCCTTGGACGATGTTGAGGAGAATACGCTCAATCCTGCGGACCTTCCCCTACCTGCCTCACCTGCATCCACCCACTCTTCGGAAGATTGTGTACTCGAGGTAAGTTGTTCCTGTTTTTTGACTGTCGCCAAGATAAGTGGCTCACCGTCGGTCGTCGGATTCAGGACACCTCTATCCCACCACCCTCCCACGATTCAACGACAGACACTACTGAGACAACGGCCCTGATCGACACCTCTGAAACGCAGGCCGATCACTTAACCATACCCGAGGATGACCAGATGTCTGTTTGTGATGATACCGTTTCATCGGATGCCCTCGCTGACTTAGTGGACTCAACTTTTGCGGAGACTACGAGGCAATCGGTGTGTCTCTACCTTCATTCTCAGCTTGTTTATATCGGTCTAACACGTAGTATCTAGGACCCTGTCGAACCAGTTCCTCCCCTCGCATCCCCCGTTGGACCGGCGCCTTTGTCTCCCCTGGCCACACCTGTCATCGAAATTCCTGAGCTTGCCAGGGCCTGTGGTGAGAGTACCGTTCAGGAGGCCTTACATTCACCCACCACTGCCCCTGAAGATGCGCCTACTTTGGTTTCTCCGATCATCCGTACTGCAGAGCCAATATTCGAGGGCGTGTCGCCTCTGGCCTCGCCTGTCGCTGAAACCACCGAATCGCTCGGGCCGGCCGTGGAAGATGGTGTTCCGACATCATCGCCCGTGCTGTGCGCCGTTTCCGGACATCCAGCTCTTTCGGTATCCCCTGTCGTCGAGATTGCTGCGCTCACCAAGCCCGCCGCCGAGCTCATCCCGGAACCTTCACCCTCACCCCGTGTTGTTGCCGAGCAGTCTTCATCCGTGGCTTCACCAAGTATTGGGGAACCAGAGCTGATCAGTGAACAAATCGAGGATGTTGTTTCTGAATCCCTGCCTACTACGTGGGCTATTGCAGAGGACACACCTTCTTTGACGTCTCCAGTCCTCGCCGATGTCGAACCTACTGAGAGTGTCGTTTTGGAACCCTCCTCGTCTCCGTGTGCCTCGGGAGAGCTTTCACTACCTCCTTTGGTTTCGCCTTCAATAGAAGCCGCCGAGGTTCTGAGTGGACCCGCCGAGGAAGTTGTTTCCGTGCCATCGCCTTCACTCCCCGCAGATACACCCCTTCCGACTTCCCCCGTGCCCCAAATTATCCAGGAAGCCAACCAGGTCGCTGACGAGGTCCATTCGGAATCTCTGCCTTCGCTGACCACCGTTTCAACCACTCCGCTTGTTGTGGCTTTGCCAGTCGTCGAAACTCCGGAATTGCTTACTGAAGGCCTCACGTCGGAATTACCATCTGTCCAAGCGCCCATGTCTCCCGCTCTATCCCCACTCGTCGCGAGCAATGAGGTGGCTAGTGAACGTACTGAAGATGAACCAGAATCTACGCTTCTAACTCCGATAGCTGCCATGGTGGACATCCAAGCACCGGTTTCAGATTCATTGGAATCGTCCTGGATTACTGTCCCAACAGAGGCAACAACAGATAGTACCCCGGATAGCAAGACTCCATTCACAGACCCGATGTTGGACGAGCTGAAGATTTGTGGTGATACCGAGTCGGTCGTACCTACGGCTACAGATACGGCGCCTGCTCCCGCAATGCCGCTGGACGATCCCACAGCCGCACCGACCATGGATGCCCGTGCACTCGATCTCATTCATCCGCTTCAGGTCGAGGAACTTGCTCTGTCAACATCCCAATCTGCGACCGGTCCCGAGACTGTTGCCCTTGGATCTAACGTCTCTACACCCGTCGAATGCCCGAAGCCGTCCGACTCGGCGGGGTCAGCGTCAGCCTCTCCTGATCGAATCCTCTCCCCAGATGTTCCCACAATGAGCTCCCCGACTACTGACTGCGCTACGTCGTTCTCTCCTGCGTCTTCTACTTCCTCGTCTTCCAGAGCGTCTTCTGCCTCCTCTTCTGGGGGTTCTTATTCATCTTCCTCTACCAATGGACGTGTTCCCGAGGGTTGGATCTACACTCATCGCGCGACGGAGGGCGATCAAAAAGACCGTATTTGTACGTCAGCCATGGGGTGTCCTCGAATGGAGCAGAGATCTCCTGAGGATTGCAGATTCGGTTTGTGGCACCCGCCTGTTGTCTGCGAGATGATATGCAAGGGGCTTCACTGCAATAAGGGCGACGTTTGCTCTGAAGAATTCCGCCATAATATTCCAGAGTCTCTCGCCAAGACTCAGCCACCAAGGACCGTTTGTCCGCACAGGATGCCAGAAGAATCGTGTCCGACGTGGCCCAGGTGCCAGTACAGGTCTCACAAGACGTTAGAGGAGTGGCTCGAGGAATGGGAAGCCTTTGAGAAGGAGGTATATCTTTGGGAGGTATGTGCACAATTTCCTGTCGAATTCTTCAATGCAAAGGCTGAACTAAGTCCTATTTTTCAGAGTGGCGATCCTGACAGTCACTTGCGGTGGCCATCCCAACCGAAGAATAAAAGGAAGCACGCGCGGCAGTCTAAGAGGGCACCGACGACCAGGACGTGATATCGTCTAGGTTATTCAGTGTTGCTCCTTCGTTACTCCGAGTGGATACTCTGCCATGTTTGCCCCTGATTTAGTTCCGTATACTTCCCTCTTCGAAGTTGAATCGTACTACTATTGTTACACCGTTGCTCCATACGGTCCTTAGGTTGTAGCCTAATATGTGCGTGTGGTTCTCTTCTGACCGGAATGCAAGGAGCACCTCGTTCGCTACGATGTACAATTATATATATTACTTAGTTCGTTGAACTTCATTGTAAATAGAAATCGTTTGAGCTTGTCCTCACTTGAACTGTGGCGCCAAGTGGCACACGTGAAGCCTTTGAGCGTGGGGATGCAAGACCAAAATGGAAAGGCCGTCGTGACCGCACTGTTTGCGAACACGAGGTGACTCGAATGTCTCCCGCACTCTGGAGCGACTCGACGAATCTCAACTCCTAGTCGCATTGTTTTTAGATCTCGACGTCTATGCTCCCGCTATCGACGTCCATTGAAATTCAGGATAAAGCATTCAGAATCCAATCGACGGTGAGAGACGAATTGAACTCCTCCTGGTGGCCGCGACTTCCAGCTGCCCTAGCCTAGACTTCCGAGTCTCAAGACTCGAGGAGGCTATCGCAGACACCGGGCGGTCTGCTACTTTTCTGACCTGCAATTTTCCTGTTTACCCGCTCATGCCCTGTTATTATCTGCCTCGATCTATCCGTTGTACACCGCTGATCGCAGAGCCGTGAGATGGAAAAAAGGTATATTAGCTGCATCATGGGTCACCGCGCCCATGCCGCCATGGCCAGGGCATTCTCATGCACGCCGAACGAGAGAAAACGGTTCACTATTTGCATGGAATGTTGTGGTTTAAACTCTCGTAGGACCTCCTTGTATCCTTTCGAGAGTTTGGGGACCGCTCTGTTTCCCATAGATTGTATCCGTTCTTGTTGCACCAATGATCCGCGGGGTGACAGACCCGTTTTTAGGCCATCAATACCTCACTGAGCCAACAAACTTCTACTCGTTCGTTCTTCTGTTTCCCCGGTTCGCGGATACACGGCGTTCGTGGCAACGCCAGGAAGCCTCTCCACCCCTACCCGTTTGGCGTCATTCCTCAGCAGGCCTTGTTCGGTTGTTCGATGGTCGGCGTCTCACGGAGCCCTGCTCCCCCCGTGAGCTTCATCTTACTCGAGGAAATACCCTTGACGCTCGATTAGTATGCACGCCTCCGCAACGCTCTCAGCGTCCCGCTGGGCTTGTTCGGTGTCCGTGACTCAGCACCTGTGCGCGCGAGCAAGCTAACTGAATGACATTGCCTTAGGTAGCAGTGCTGACCCGGTCATTCACTGATGAACCGCAGCCACACAAGGACAGTCAAGCTGGGAGATCTAGGCGTGGGGATAAAGTTGGCACACACGATGGCCGCGAGCATCAGGCCGGTATAGCTGAGTCGTGACGAGGCCGGGATGGGTGACATGTCATCCTGATCGGCCGTGGGAGCGGTTGATTCCTCTGTCATACATATACGAGGCTCTTCCAGCCTCTGAAGTACCTTGGCAGCACATTCGATCGCTCAATAGCACCATACTTCGCCATGAACCAACTTGGTCCCAACACGAAGCCCATTCAGCTCTTTTCTCGTCCCAACGTCCAACGGGATCATATCGACTATGGCTCATTGAAGACATTCCAGACTTTTACTGCTGAAGAGTAGGTGACTCCTCACATAACCCACGAATTTGCTACGCTGACTAACGAGTTGGTCGGAACTAGCATCGCCAAAGATGGAACGACGTTCGGTTGCCTGTGCGTCTTTGCTGAGGATTATGTGGCGGCACCAGCTCGCTGTGGCCTGCAGCCGCACGGTGAACTAGAGATGATGACCTACATCGTTTCGGGGGAACTTCGACGGTACGTCATGACTACTTGCGTGAACTTACCACCAAATCTCCGGCTCCTCGACGCTGCTCAGTATTGAGCGTCTATCACTCCACGAACTGACTCTGCCTTCAAGCAGCTCGGAGGCTTCGGGCGACGTCGATGTTTTGAAGAGTGGGGATATGCTTGTGTGCTCTGCTTCAAGGGGCATTTGGTACGAAGAGAATGGGAATAAGAGTCAGGACGTCCATCTCATCCGGATTTGGAGCAAACCAGGTTCTTGCGATCCTTCTCCGAAGTCACAACGCCGGTAAGCTTGTTAACCCGCCATAAATGAATCTTTTCAGGTGTTGAAAACATTTTTCTACTCTGTTAGACACTATTCTGCAGCCGAGAAACGTGATAAATTGCTTCAGGTCATCTCACCTGCACGTCAGACTTCAACAACAACGAAATCTGTGCCGGCCCAGTCCTCTTTGTCCGTCTATACTTCGCTGCTCTCCACGGGATTGAGACTTCGCCACAACTTTGATTGCGAAGAGAAGAAGGCTTGTAAAGTCTACGTGCATGTAGTGCAGTCATCGGGATACAACCCAGGTGTAGCAAAGGGTGCATCGGTCAAAGTCTCTGTGTCGGGCGGGTATGATTCAAAGGGGAGCACAGCTCGAGAGGGTGAGGTATTGCTTCGAGAGGGAGACGGTGCCTGTCTAGTTAGCAACATCGGTGCAGAGCTGACATTCGAGAACATTGGGGATCGGGATGCCGAGGTGTTCGTTCTGCGAGTGAGTTGAGCTGGTCTTGGCATGTTGGTGTACGATTACCCTACTGTACGATAGCGATTGCTCCCTAGTATTGCACGAAGTCGCATTCCCGCCCGAACTATAGCTTCCATCCTGTATTTAATTAGGCATAGTCAACTGACACGCATGGAGGTGTGGATGAAGAGCGGACAGCCGTGTAATGCAGAAGTGTGCTGCCCCTGCGATTGCGACCGTAACAGAACGAGAACTCATCTAAGCATCCAAGTGAAATACAGACTAAATACAAACAAATAGAGCAAGAATCAAATACAATGCGATAGACTAAGTAAACCTAACTAAAACCCAATGTAGAACGAGATCTAAAAATTTGAGTTCACGCACTTGCCGCGTCCCCTCTCCCATTCCCTTGGCCAGCATTGACACTGTCACCCTCCACATCCCCTAAACGCAACTGACTAAACCTCGGAATATTACCTACCTTCTCCTCCACATCACTGTACCACTTCTGCAACTGCTCCCTACAGCACTCCTTTGCGCAATGCGGCTTCATCAGTGCGACCAACTCCTTAAGTCGCTCCGCCATCAGGTTCTCTGGTTTGCCCCCGAGAGCGCGAAGGATCATGGCACAGGCGTTGAGCCAATCCGTATCACAGACCGTCCATTTGCGAGTGTCATGCTCAAAGTGTGTGGTTTCCGTCAAAGCGGTGGCATATTGAAGGGTCAGCAGCCAGTGTTCTTGGTACTTGACCTGTTGGTGTCGAGTTGACAGTGTGATACGGATGATGTGGCGGTGGCGTAAAAGACGGTCTATTCAGTAGGACGCTTGAAAGAGAACAGAAATGCTACGTACCCAAAGGGAAAATGTTTCGTACGAAAGGGCCTTCATTACCTGCGAGACTGGCATGCCAATTGCGAGAGGGGCCGCTTCGTCCGCTAACGCGCAGTAATCATGTCGTGTGGCGTATTCGAGAACTTCGAGAGGTTGGCGTTTCAAGGCATTCCTTTTCAATCATTTTACCTATGAACATCCACATCTATCCATCGAGTACTGCGTGGGCGTACCTCATGTGTATCCTGCACACCTCCATCGCCGCATAAACCTGATATTTCTCCGCCGCTTCTGCCAATTTCGCCAGTTCTTCATACCCGACTCCATCCAGACATGGATATGATCGTGGGTATACGTGCTGGAACAAAAGATCTAATGTGTGCGTGGTCTCCGAGAGGGGTATAAGCTCATGTGACTTTGGAAGGTCGAGGGAGGAGGGAGGGAATCCTTCGGCGTGAGAGTCCAAGTGTGCACGGTGCACTCGGAAGATGACTTTGTCGGAAGAGAGAAAGGATATGTCTGCATCCGGAGAATTGACTGGAATATAAGGAGTGGGGCCCAATATGTAGTCAAATGAGTAAGGTCGCCTGTGAACTCAGCGGAACAGTGAAGCATAGAAGAGTGACTCACATCGACCAGAGACCTGAGCAGAGTCAACTTCGAACTCACGCATCGTGTTTTCGCGGAGGGGACACTGTGAGGGGTATATGGTCGGCGAGATGGCAGTCAGCAGAAGACGGCCCTGCAATGCCTCTGGAATATAAAGGCATCCGAGCGATACGCTCGCGTAGCTCGTTGCCAGCGGCTGTGGGTACTGTACTTTTTCGCGCAGAAGTTCACGCCACCGCCCCTCGGCTGTTGCCGAGATGACATAATCCATCTGTGTCCCGGTTCGCAGACGTGGTGGGACAAGGGACAACGTTCCTCAATTTCGACTGTTTTCTATGATATTGCCATCTATCATGGATTTACAGCCATAAATATTTGCCTGTGGGTTAATTGAAATGACGGAATAACAGGCTTAAGCTCAAAACTTAGCTTGAAGGGCTTGCAGAGGACAAATTGGAAGCATTGTGATTATTCTTGTATTTTGGACATGTTTTACTTTGTCCCGTTTACATGTTCATTTCAGGTCAACGCTGTGGGACTGTCCCAGGGCACAGGTTCGTTCGTGACCCCCCTGGGACGCGGGACACGAACTTCTGCCCGAAAAACTACAGTACTGTATCTCTCGTGGTCGTTGACCCCGATACCGGCGGGAGTCCGATAGTGTTAGCGCCAATCCTTCCGAGCGGACCTGATCTTTCCGAGATGTAGCCTGGTGTATGAGGGCGTATGAGAAGCGAAATACTTTGGAAAAACTGGTTATCGGAAAGGCATTTGTAAAGTCAAAATTGCCAAAATGTGCTGTCTCCTAACGAACTTCCAACGCAAGGCCCGAACAGATGACAGGACAAGACGAGGCCTCAGTGACAATGGCAAGGATCCTTACCATACTTCCGATGGCGTTCAACAGGAGTGAGGGTAAACGTTGTTGTAAAATCCAGAGGGATCGGAGCCTATCGGAGCTGTCCGAAACTTCCGGATGAAGGCGCCACCGCCACACCAAACAAGTGCGCAATTATCATGGAAAATGCTACAATATAAGTATGAGGGTAAAAAGTAAAATATTTCTCACATGACGCCGAGTTTGCACATTCACGGCCTGTAACTGAGGACAGATAAAAAGTCTGACACGGTATTGGACGCAGTGGAGAGGGACATTGAGGGGAATGAACATCAAAAGCTCGTCTGTTACTACTTACCGCCGAAGGACCTGAAAGCTCAGATATATATACGACTCTACCTCGGGTGTAGATTCGCATCGAGCTCTTGATTTTGTTATCCGTTAAAGAGTCGTGTGCAGGCACTGCAAAGGCATACCTAAATATGGACATGTCTTTGCGTGAGAGCCCGCGATGGTTGACGATCAGCTCGGAGCACGCTTGGGATACTTAGTCTCACTGTGGCCTATCTTACTTACTCTCCATTGTGATGGTACCAAGATCGACACTTGAGGACCGGAGCAGATATTAAGTAGTAGTAGGTAGACATACGGCCAACAGGAGGGTTCAAGTGTACAACTCCAAGTACCATCGCACGAATATATCGTTTGCTTACACAAGCTCCACGATATTCGTGATGTATCGTCAGGCTGGGACATGTTGGCTATGTTCGTAACTATCCGATGTCTACATGGCGCATCTGAGCGTTCGGAAAGATGGTGTCCGAACCACGGTCGCCGCCACAACACCTCCAGCCTTTGAACATGTAACAGTGTTTGAGAAACGGAGCATCCAAGACAAGTCACTGCGATTGTGAGGTATAGGAGATGATACGAAAGGGGTCATGCCTGGTTGAATATTGAAAAAAAGGATCACTTCAAGAGGTTCCGTTGAAGGATGTGGAGAAGGCACTAAACGTAGGAATCCCTTCGATCCCTGTGAACAAGGGCTGAAGCGTGTTTGCACAGACAGAGCAGGTACCGCTGGTGAGACGTAATGCCTTCCATGCTTGGATATCGTGGAACCTCTGAACACCATCGACTATGTCTCTCATTACCTGGGGGCGTAGAGTGTCCAAAAAGGTGCAAATTGTGCTGTATCTGTAATCGTTGTTGTGATGGTGACTGGGGATGTCCACGTGAAGATGAGTCTGCGCGAAAGTTCGCAGAGCTGATACCCACGCGTCCCTGTATCTAACCTTTAGTTCAAAGATAGACACGAGTCAATGAATATACAACTGCGACAGCTGGAAGTCATTCGCTTGCGTACCCAAGTGACGAAGTGCTCTATCGGCAGTATTCGTACAGCGCCATCCGCGTTCGCAGCGAGAGCGGGGAGTGCAGCTAGGTCTGCGACCTCTGGGTAGTCATGCGTCGCAGCATAAGCAAGGACTCTGAGTGGGTGAACAGATCTAGCTTTCCTATTTTCATTGTTAGCACCGAATACACAAAGTTTCCACGATATACCATAGATACAGAGGCAAACTCACTTCATGAGAAGCCTGCAGACCTCCATGGCCGAATAAACCTGATATTTTTCTGCCGCCTCTGCCAGTTCCGCGAGCACATCAAAGCTGGTTTTGTCGAGCTGAGGGTGCGTCCGAGGGTAGACATGCTGGAAGAGAAGGTCCAGTACGTTCGAATTTTCCGTAAGGCCAGGGGGCTGAATTTCTCCGGGCCCGGTCGTTGATTGAGGAAGGTCTCCTGAATCGAAACCTCTAGCGTTCACGTCCAGGTACTTTCCATGGACACGAAAAAGGACTCCGTCGCAAGAGATGAACAACCTGTTTGCATCTGGGTCGCAGACTAAGGATCACAGAGGACATGACAAGGAGGAAGAGTCCGCTCATCAGTGACATTGATCACGATCGCCACGAAGACCATGAGAAAGTCTCACAATTCTCGGAGACGCGTTGTGCAGTGACCGACACAAGTTGAGACTCTGCCATAGGAGTGATATCGCGAGAGGAGTCTTGTGAAAGTAGCTCGAAGTACAAAGAGAACAAGCCTGATCGATAGAGAATGCCTCGCCGAGGGCGATGAGGGTTTGAAGGCTGAGATAGAGAGACGACTTGGGCAGAGGGGAGGAACCCTGTTGTACCCTTCCTAGCATTCCCACCAGCCTCGTGTAAGCCCCCTATTTGAGCGTCTACAAGGACCTACAAGCATCCACCGCAACCGTCAAACCTTATCCGTCACAAGATTTAGGTGTAGAATACGGCCAAGAATATATATATATTCCTGGCGATAGAAACCAGAGGTTAGATCGAGCAGGTCGAACATATATTAGATCATGGGCCCGGTGTGCAGAGCAGAAAAGCGTGGGCCAATGCATGCATAGAGCATCCACAGACCAGTGTGCCATAGCGATTGTAGAAAAAGAGACATCCCAAGCAAACGCGTGGGAGGCGAACGGTGCTGCATGCTATTCGGCCCAGGTATCTCCGATGCCAACTCGGAGAGTAAAAGGTGCAAGCGATTTCGAGCGACGGTGATGGTGTGGCCTAGAACCTCGTTGGGGACGCATTTCGATGTCTGCCAAGCTGTTGCTATTATTGATGGACAGTGATACCGGGCAAAAGGATGCCTAGTTCATCAAGGGTGTATTGGTGAGCGCAACTCGCGAGTGAAAAGAATATGTTGCTGTCAACTTACTAAGCCTAATGGTAGTCTCGCAGGGGGTCAGTAAGTTGAAAACGATAGCTATTGAATTCTTCAGTTCTTCGGAAGAGGCAGAATAAATGCCGTTGAACTCGCCACGACAACACTATGGGTGGAGAAAAAGCAATGGAAGAAAGTCACTCAAGACTTGGAGGTGCCCTTAGTTGAGCTTGAAGCTTCGAAGACGTTCGGGAGCTACAGAAGCGATACAACAAGGAAAAGTAAAGCTTATGGATTATGGACATGTCCGGAATTGAACCGGACACCTTTCGCATGCGAAGCGAACGTGATAACCAACTACACCACATGCCCGTAATTTTGCTCAACACATACAGTGGCGCACAAAAAGAATGCAGGTGGCACTGTGGCCCCGACCATGATCCGAGGTTTTTTCAGTCATGCTATATGATCTTGCTTGGCTTTTTGCATCATAGAATGGGCCTATATGTGGTGCCTTCAGAATGTGTAAGGTCTGTATGATTAGCCATAAATATAGTTATAGAATGCCTGATTTGAATATAATCGTCGATTTTCCGATATATTTGCTTGCACTTGGAAGACCTCATCAAATCAGATGAAACAAAGTGTTGAAATAATATTCAGAAGGTATATTACAAGATTGGGTATACGACTGGACTGTATAAAAATCATGTGTGATTCTGGCTAGGAGGGACATTTTTGCAACAAAATGCAGGGAGCAGCAAAAGCCTGCAGAAGACACAGTAGCAGTGGTAACCACTCGAAATACCCTATGAATGATTCCATCCTACATTGTACCTTCTTCATGGGTTATGTATAGTAGGGTATGGTATAGCCTGCATATTCTGGAACACTACGATGATATCTGCATTTTGTTGCAAGAATGTCTCTCCTAGCCAGAATCACACATGATTTTTATACTGTCCAGCCACATACCCAATCTTGTAATATACCTTCTCAATATCATTTCAACACTTTGGTTCATCTGATTTGATGAGGTCTTCCAAGTGCAAGCAAATATATCGGAAAATCGACGATTATATTCAAATCAGGCATTCTATAACTATATTTATGGCTAATCATACAGACCTTACACATTCTGAAGGCACCACATATAGGCCCATTCTATGATGCAAAAAGCCAAGCAAGATCATATAGCATGACTGAAAAAACCTCGGATCATGGTCGGGGCCACAGTGCCACCTGCATTCTTTTTGTGCGCCACTGTAATTAATTTGATAATACATCAGCCATAGGGACTTCCTCCGGTCGCGTTCGTACCCCCCCAAGCTTTCGTCTCTTGCCTTTCGACACACATCTCAATTCACCTGCAGCGAGGTGGCCACCGTCGATTAACCGTCGACGATGGTGGGCGGTATCTCGTCCCAAGCGCCAGGGTGGCCCGCTCTATACAACCCAGCCATCGAAGGCTTCCAGAATCTCGACCCCATTCGACCCGGTGGGCAGTACCTCCATGAAGCTAACGGCAAGTATTCAATCCTCAACTTCTACTATTCATCGTCTCTCAGCCATCTAACCTGAAAACTTGAACCTTTGTCTGCTCAGATATCTTTAGATACACCTTTTACTGGACCCTCATCCTTCATACACCACTCTTCGTCATGTGTGGCGTCTATGCCTTCATGAACATAGTATTCCCTCCTCGACCAGCCTCTTCTTTGGATCTTGCACACGCTGAACCCCGAACACTATCTTCTTTCTCATTCTCTTCACGTGCTCGGTCGACCATCAACGGACTGCGCAGAAGTCCTCCCAGACCACCAGGTCCGCACCAGAGGTTACCGAACTCGCCACTGCTTACCTCGCACGAGTTGGAAGAACGCGAGGCTGAGAGGACACCAGAAGTGACTACGAGAGGGTTCACGGATGGACGGACTGGACGAGGCGATATGGAACTTACACCCATCGCCAGCTCAAGCCCTCAATCCGCCGCCTTCCTCTTCCCATCCTCTCCACAATCTCAGTCCCCAACCTCTCGATCCCCATCATTCCACTCCTTCCCACCAACTCCACGCATAACCCTCTCCCCCGAAGCCTCGCGCCCCCAATCGCGCTCGCATGCCGCATACCGCTCCAGTATGTCTCACTCGCGACGTTCGGGAGCGGTAGGAGGTCCGTTCCTCGCTCATCAGCCGAAGAACCCAAAGAGGTCGAGGTTGACGTATGCGATTTTGATTTTGTTCACGTTTTTGGCGGGAAGCGTGTTTGCGGCAGTATTGGAGAGTGTGCTGGTGGGCTATATGTTGGCGGGGTTGTATAGTGCGGGTAAATTTCAGATGTCTACGTGCGTAATCTTCTCGGTTCTCGTCTTTTGGTATGACTTGGCGGAGAGGAGCTGACACAATGTTGTGATGTACCGATAGGTGGATTCCTTTGGTTTGGGCACTTATCATTACGCTCACGGGTATATTGGGGTAAGTGTTTGTGGCCCTTCTCATCATGCTTCCACTTTGTAGGTTGTGTGGCCCATTTACTAACGACCATCACGTAGGATTTTTCCTTCGGTCATTCATCGCATCTAATAACGGCAACATATCCGTCCTAATCTCTCGTTTCGCTTTGCTTCATCTCCTTTTGGACCATGTATCCACATCTGTATCATTTGACATTCCACTGCCTGGCCTATCTCACTCCTCGATGGGATCGTCGCCATTGCCGCTATGAACGTTGGACTCGTTTAAACAGTCGCATCGCATCTAATTTCTCCCTCCACACGGTGAACTGTGCATGTTCTGCTCTCATTGCTTTCGAACTATCATTATCTGCTTTAATTTGTGTCTTCTACTCTCGAGCGAGGCGTTGGGCCGATCGTATTGACCTGGTGCTGGTCGGTTGTAAGTCAATAACTCCTGCTAAGGTATTCATGTCTGGATCCTGGCTTTTCAATCGTTGGCTTTTGTTTCTCATATGGTGGACGTCGCTCAAAATCTCCGAACAAGGTGCAAGCCACGCCACGCGAAACACAGCGCCCATCCTTCTTACGCCACTCGATCACCGCCATGTGGCGCCTCCTTTGTCCCACGTCTCTTCTTCCGAGTCTGTTCTCTCGAACCCCAGAAAATGCGACACCGTTTCAACGGGCATATGGTGTAACTGAATAACACGTTCGTGGCCGCTCTCATTAGCGTCTGCGAAAGATGTTCGGTTTGATTCCGACTGTGGCCTATATTTGTGCTTGAAGCATTGTTTTTTTGTTTTTTTGTTTCCTTGAGGGGCTAAGGCCAAGCTCGGGTTTGAGCGCCGACACGTTGGAGCTGCTCGCATTTATTATGGATGTGCTGTATACGAGCGATATTGTCTGCTTCTAGAGAGATTGTCAGGTCACACGACCATCCTTCTTCAAGTTGCGCCACCCGAATTCCTTTATCTCACCTCATCATTCCTGTTCTCGGCATATCATACTAATCAACGGGCATCTGGTGTATCTGGTTATCGCGTTCATGCTACCTCGGGACTGTCGTCTCAATGCTTTGTGAACGGCGCCCGGTTCGAGTCCGCGCATGCAGTGTAGGCCTCAGTCACATCCTTTTCGTGAACTACGAGCACTGTTTTACTTTGGGTTTTTTATTTGAACTCGGATAGCCCAGGCAGTTTCAACTACTCGAGAAGTCCACGGAATTTTCGATATCTTGTATATGCAACGACCTAACGAGACGCACCCCGAGTCGGTGCCAGTGTTCCTTCTTGCGCCACTCGAGTTCCTTGCTTTGTTGGCAGTCACGCCTGCCTTGCATTGTGTTTTTCATTCAGGACACGCAACCCTATTCCAACGGGCATATGGTGTATCTGGTTATCACGTTCATATTGCATTCTGCGGGACCATAGTCTCAATGCTTTGTGAAAAGTGTCCGGTTCGAGTCCGGGCATGCCCCGTCCGTTTGCGCTCTGGTCACATAATTTTGTAAAGTACGAGCACCGTTTTACATTGCGCTTTATGTCCCCGGCAGTTGCAACTACTCGAGAAGTACACTAAATTTTTAGGATTCTGCATATGCAACGATCTGACGAGACCCACCCCGAGTCGCTGTTCCTCGTTGCGCCACTCGAATACCTTCCTTGGTTGCGCCCGCCCGTCATTCTGTTCTTCAGCTCAGGACACATGATAACACTATTCTACCGGGCATGTGGTGTAACTGGATAACACATTCGCTCATTGTGGAAAGGGAAACTTCCTGGAACCCCATTATCATTACACCTGCGAAAGACGTCCGGTTCGAGCCCGACCATGCCCCTACTAGCTGAGGTCACTGGTACTTTTTTGCCGACGGCCATCTAATGGTCTGTAGTGACGATCCGACAAGGTACTAGTCCACGACTTGAAGTAGGCCACGTACTTACAAGTGGCGCCACACTCGACCATTCCTTCTTACGCCACCCGATTGCTGCCACTGGCCTGACCCCTTCCTTTGTTTCGTCTTCTTGTGTGATTTACCACGCCATTTACAGCCCACAAAGGGCATGTGGTGTAATTGGTTATCACGTTCGCTTCGCATGACAACATCCCCTGTGTAACATATGTTGCGAAAGGTATCCGGTTCAATTCCGGACATGTCCAAGTCCGTGTTGGAGTTTCTGTTTGCAACACCTCATCAGTATTTTGGGCCCCAGCCATGTCGAAAAGGGAGTTCTCATTCTAACAGACATAGTTTGAAGCGGAGACGAATGCGTGTTGCGTGTCCCTTGGAAGGGAAGTTCATGGAGACGACGGTGATTAGTAGAGTACTCACGCGCTCAGAAAAGACCCGGACATAGCGGCCGTCCAAGGGCACCGCGCGAGACCGATCCGAGCCATGGATGAGACAAAAGGGTTTGTTATTTAGGGATCATCAAATCGTGTATGTATGTATATCCCGGGGGATACTGTATGTTGGCAATCTGGGCTCGCCGCCCGATGCGTCCAAGATTAGCGAAACGTTGGTTGATATCGAGGCGGGGAAGGATCGGGTAGAGTGTTGTGCTATTATATCTCAGTCAAAAATTAGTAGCGTCATTGTTAAGGAAGCCCGAAGGGGTAATAAGGTAGGGCAGGGCAGGGCAGGGCAGGTCAGTTCAAGTACCATGGTCCATAAGGCTAGATGAGGATGCCTAATCATGATCACTTCCCCGCAAGATACCATGTCTACGAGCATCAACTTGGAACCGTGATTGAAGCCGCATATTCCACGAAGACCGAAACGCCAAACTGACCCTCCCTAAATCGAGCCGTTGTCCCCGCAGTTGTCTCTATTCTTACACTCGGGAAATGTTCGGTATTCCATGCTCGATGACAAGGATATCTGCGGACATTGGCATTGCATGGAATGGAATCAGATGGGAGCTGTTCGTAGGAAAGAGCATATTACCCACAGCATATCTTCCGAGGCTACCACGAGCACCGCCAGTCGACGTCGTCCGACCTACGGCGACCTACGTCTGGCCGTGCTCTTCCAGGAGTACCGTGATGATGACGGTGGAGCTCATCGCTATGTTTCCAACGGCGACGGTGAACTACGGGCCCGTCCCAATCGGCACACATCGGTGACGCAGCCCGTTCCATCTCCGCCTCCGCCTCCGCCCCCGTCCCCGTCCCCGTCCCCGTCCCCGTCCCCGTCCCCGTCCCCGTCTCCGAGCCCGACCTGCCACAAAACCTGTCCCGAAAGGCAAAGGAGTCGGAACAAGGCTGGCTGACACCGCATCGAGGTCCGAGTTCAGCGCTCTGTCGACGGGCAAAAATTAGCGCGCTTGTTGAACAGAACTTTAACGCTACGGTAGTCAGCCACAAAGGCGAAGCCACTGATAGCGAAATTAGCTTCAGAGCTCCTTGGATACCCATGGGGCATGTCGGCGTTTGGACTTGGGCCCGTAGCGCCTGGGTCCGGGTGTTCTGCAGGGAACGGAAAGAGGAACGTACCGAGGGTAAGTACAGTACGACACGAATGCTTTATTTTGCAGTGAAGCCCGAGCCGTAAGTTATAAGAGAACAATCACGAATCGTCACATAGACGCTCTCGGATGCGAGTCGTCCCGGACGATGGTGCGACGTGTATGTTTGTCAGGGCCGCGGAGGTTGAGCAGGCTATTGACGACTCCGCGGTGGAACTAGAGATTCGGACAGAGACAGACGAGAAGAAGGGACAGCACCAGTGACACAGATGACGTAGACTTTTTGGGTGAGTCCGATGAGTCTGAGTCGCCGTTGACGTTTAGACGAACAAAGACACGAACAAATTCGATCCGTGTTCTTCTGCGCTTTCCTTTTCGGATAGTGGCATTTGGGTTCTCTCTATAGGTCAGGAACGCTCAGCGCTCACCGCTATTGAATATCTAAGTGTGGACGTACCTCCCAAAGAGCGTTTTCTCGGGCGTTGCCCGGTGTCTCGACAAATACAGTGACGTCATGACTCGCTCGAGCGAGTGGCGTGAGTATGTTTCGTACAGTCGTGTGGCGCTCAAGAGCTCTAGGCTCACAGCGCACAAAGGAGCAACAAAAAGATTTTGTATAGAATCATAGAAGATAGAACGGTATGTACGGACGTGTGGTGTACTTGGTTAACACATTCGCCCAATATGAGGACCCAATCCATAGCGCCCGCATGATGTGCGAAAGTATCCGGTTCGATTCCGGGCATGTCCTGTGCAGAATCCGCATAGGCAACCTTTTTTTGTTTTGTTCGCATCGACACTGATCGGCAGAGAAGGAAAGATATTAATGAGTTACTAGCACTGGGTCGAGTAAGGGGCGTGAGTGAGTAAGCATGTTCGTTCGTGCGCGCCACTCAAGAGCTTAGGTACCCGCATGCTCTGTCCACACCGTACAAAGGAACAAACGTAGTAAATGAAAAAAAAGGTATGTATGGGTATAGGTACGGACATGTGGTGTACCTGGTTAACACATTCGCACAATGTGAATACCGTCCATCTTATGATGTTGTCGTTCATCCGGTTCGAGTCCGGACATGTCCTGTACAGAATCCGCATAGGCAACCTTTTTCGTTTTTTTTTTTTTCGCATCGACACTGATCGGCAGAGAAAGAAAGATACCGGTAAGACAGGACTGGGTCGAGTGAGGGGCATGAGTATGTTCGTACGCGTGCGGCGCCACCCAAGCACACAGCTCTGAGCTCACAAAGGAACGAAGAGTAGTAGTAGATCAAAAAGGTCTCCATGAGTATAACTACGGACATGTGGTGTACCTGGTTAACACATTCGCACAGCATAAAGCATTGTCTGCTGTCCATCTTATGATGTCGCCATCCATCCGGTTCGAGTCCGGACATGCCCCGTGCTGCCATACGAGCAGATGCACCTTTTTTTTTTTGGTTTGTTCGCGTCGACACTACTTACTCGGCAGAGAAGGGAAGATATTGGTAAGACAGGACTGGGTCGAGTAAGGGGCGTGAGTATGTTCGTTCATGCGCGCCACTCAGGAGCTCTCGGTCCACAGCTCATCATGTATAGGCAGGTATAGGCACAGGCATGCTTCCTGCGCCGGAACGGCTCGGTACAGTGTATGTATGTATGTATCGGCGGAGATAACGCGGAGATTTATAGAGCTCGAGGCAGAGCGCTAGCGCTCGAGGGTGTAGCCTATAGCTTGCTTTTAATGCGAGTGAGTTAATTGTGCGCTGGCGTCGAGTGTCCATGTTCGCGTCGTATGCCTGGCAGGCTGAGAAAGTCGACTCCAGAAACCGAGGACGAGGAACGAGACGGAGACGGAGAGACGGAGACGAGGATTTCCGCGATCGAGGGTCCACCTACTGTATAGCCTGAGTTATATCCAGACTATTGTAACAAGCCGGGAAGTGACAGTCTAAGGTGAAGGGCCATCATCATGATGTATCAGAGCTGGTCGATGAGCTCGAGGCAGCATGGACGAGCGAGATGAGCTACTTATAAGTAGTCGCGGTTCGCGGTACTAGTAGTCGTGTAACTGAGAATGTTAGGATTCAAGTTGATAAGCTCATTACTCAAGACCCGAGACTGAGAGGTCGAACTGGCAAGAATTATTAACGGACGAGACGAGAGCATTGGAACAGGACAAGGGCAAGCCATACATAGAATCGAGTGCGTCCAAAGCAGAACAGTGACCCCGACATTAATATTGTTGACACAGTAAGTCCCAACTCGAACTCGCACATATCTTGCATCCTGAGGCCTGATGTGTGTCTTACATATGTTCGAGTCGGACGTAACACCGCTTGATCCGGGTCAGCTGACAAGCAGAAAGAGGATTAGATGGAGACGCTTTGAATCATCGATGACTGTTGATTGAGTTGCCGGACCCTTGCTTGGGTGACTGGGCGCGATGGGGAAGATTAGGTAGCCGGGGCAAGTACGCAGAAGAGGATATTAGCATGTGGGGAGAAGAGGAGATTGGAAGGTGGGGAGAAGAAGAGAGTAATGAGGAGTGGTGGGAGGAGCGGCTTTGGATGGGTTGTTGGAGGCGAGATGACGTCGGTTCGGGGCCAACATTGCACGATAAAGACAGGAGAAAACCTTTCCTCGAGGACGATCCAAGTTGGCCTCGAGGAGTCGACGTTGAGGGCCACATCGACGGACACGCGTCAAAGGCGAGGTGGCGAGCGAGGTCGAGGACGTCGAGGCGCATTCGAGGCACGGCGCTAATTGGACGGCGCATCAAGCGCGCCAGTGTTGTCACTCGACCTTTGACCAGTGGTCGGGGTCAGGTCAGCCGAGCGACCCGACCCGGCGGGGTCAGACCAGGTCAGACCCAGTCAAGTCTGCGGCGCCACTTGGTGATGTGGCCCCGAAATATACCAAAATAAGGCATTTTCCAGAATGTGCCAGCATTTGGTCCAGAGCCGACGCTGCCGACCACCATAAAAGGTAGGCTGCAGGGGGTCAAGAAAACCTTGACCTGACCCGGCTCGGCCTCTCGACCCGTCAGCCTGACCCCGGGTCTGGCACGGTCAAGTGCCAACACTGAAGCGCACAAGGAGAACAAAGATTAGACGGACACAAAATCGACCCCGCAACACCCGGGCCGGCTCCCGTTCTTCCTTTTTCGGGGTCTCGACGCGCCACAACGCCACCCCACCGTGACACACCGCACATCTTTTTTTTTTTTTTTTTTTGAGTCAACATATTTATACCGCGCCGGCGAAGCCAGGGGCGCCTTGCGTATCTACAAGTAAGCAACTAGGGACGAGACCTGTACCGTACCGTACTGTACTCGAAAATGGAGCTGATACCCAAGTTCTCGTGCACTAAGTAAAAGACCGTGAAACGAAACTAGGGAAGTAGGATGACAGACCCGTATCCAGGCCGAGTTG